ATCGATTTTGATGGATCGAAAGCTTCCCTAATTTCGTGATTCACAGGGTGATTTTGACAAGCCGAAAATCTAATCCCGAAAACTACACTTTGATCCTTTTTGCTGCACAAGTCGGTTTTAAGACCATGTGTAGATGGTTCCAGAAAGAGGCGCAGCACCAGATCTGTGAAGTGCTAGAACTGGTCATCGGCCCGAAAACTTTTTTCTAGTTTTAAGACATCTTCCCTTTCGTGTTACAGAAGTGCGTCAGGCACAGCTATGCCCAAGCCTTCTGTCATAGGTTGCTTCGTCTCATCCTGTCATGCATTATCTTCTCATATATTATCTGTTCGAGACTGCCAACTTTTCCTCCTGAGCAGTAGATCCATGAGGCTCTGGAAATACCGGAAACATTACGGTTAACTCCTTGTTCATTTGCTGCTTTTGTATTTTTGATGATCACTATGAAAAAGTAAAGAAGGTCCCAGTAGTTACTTGAGGTGCCAAACATTAACATTTTTCCCCGCATTAACGTTCTTTTTCCCAAATATTAGCATTTTTCTCCTAAAAAAAGAGAAGGGAGCGCCTGTTCGTTGTCCGCAGAATGATGGTGCAACTTCGGTCACAGCAGCTACGGAAATGCTATCAGTTGTCTCTATGGTGCAACAGATGCTACAGTATGCACAAGTGGTGGAGATTATCTCTGGGTATGCCTGAGCACGGAAACCGATCGCTCCGAAAATACTCGTTTCGATGACAATTAGGCATTTTCCATTGATTCGGGCGAAGCAAGCCATTTTCAATCTGCTGTTTTCGGAAGAAACCAGAAACAATGTATTAGTTTATTACAAGCACAAAAAAGAACAATTAGTTAGCAGTGAAATAACAATAATTTTCTTTTCTGTACAAAAACTTGATCATTTTTGGATCATCGCATATAAAAACTGGATCATTTTTAAGGATAAGTCATTTTTGGATCATTGCATGGATCACTTTGGATAGCGTTCCCGTTTTACTTTCTCTTCGTCCTATGAATTTCGCAGTGTACACTGCTTCTAATTCCTTGTATAGCTTGTTGACTGAACAATAGCGGACGCATTTCTCATCGAATGATAAAACACTTTAATGCAGTTTATGACTTTCTCAGATTCCTTTCCTTACTGCGTTTCAACTTTTTTTCTTGACTCGCTCGAAACCACACTTTTTACTCGAGATTTTCTTGCAGCTCGGTTACGTTTCTGAAAATCGAAAGCAAAATTGATCCAGGACAAATCGAAAACAATTTCCGAATCGATTTCTCTACGCTTCTTGCACGCCACACAGCAAATACTTCATTGCCTGAATTTTTAATTTGAAATCTCCCGATCGTCTCGTCTTTGCTGCTCTGGATACAACATATTTCTCAAAATACAGGCAGAATTCACGTAGGGGTCGGTGCATGCCTGGTTTTGATGGCTTCAGGTTTCTGCTTCTGAAGGGCCATCACTTCTAAAGCGTGGGTACAGGCGAACATCACGGCACCGAACCCATTGCACATCAGGAGTATTCAGTTCCACTTTCTTGCTGGATTACCAGCTTCTTCCATGATGCGCATGAAGAATTTTTCCAAACTCCTGAGGCGGCTAATCTTCCTCCCGTACGGATCTTTTGCTGCTCTTGCAAAATATTGGCAATCGAACCTGATCCGAGCCTCGAATTCGCTCAGCTTTCCACTTCTCATTTCTTCATTGTTGGCGAAAAAACCAGTGCCACTGAGACCAAACTGCAAGTCTCTTCGACCAGTGCCTAGCCGATGGGCCAGCTGGGTCATCATCACATGCAAAAGGCTTGAATTCTCGTTCCTGTTCGTCGCTTCCGTTTTTGAATACCTGGATTTGACAGTTTTAGCTTTCTGCTGCCGTTGGTGTTTGTTTTAAGCACTGGACCCGGTGTCCTCCAGAAATACCGTGGATGATCGAGTTGCTTTTCTGCACAGTTCCGTGATCACAGCACGAAAAACTTTCGTTCCTCCCGAGATCCCTTATCGCCTTCCCGGAATACGAATCGCTTTTGGAACAAGCAACAGACGGCTTCAAGCCTCGTATCAGTACGAGGCATCATTTTCCATTTTCACTTTCTCTGATTCAACATGGAAGCAGTGGCGCGGACCTGAGTAATAACATGTGCGCGCATGCCCATGCGCTCATTTTCGCTCGGCTAATCGCCTCCTTCTTGCGCGGTATCCACCACTGCTCCGCAGTAAGCCACAGTTGATCGAAACAGGCCACGAGCAGACACAGAACCAAAAACAATGGTACTTCTCCAGGACTCCTCCCTTTTTATGGGGCACGAAATTTCCATCCCACTGATGCTGCTGAAGTTTATGCATAAATTTTTGTACGGGACATTGTCGAAATTTCAGCGAACTTTCTTGAATATGCCAGTTTGACGAACTGTTTGGAAGGCAAAAAAAATAGCTCATCCCATATGCGTATTCGTGACAAGTTTTAAATTTGGATCCAGGATCTGTTTAAAATTTTTGTCCAAAATTTGCATATATTCAATAAGGGCAACGAGGAATTTCAAGAACGAATTTCCGCAAAACAGTAATTCGTCCGAACTGCTTAGCGAGCGGTTGCTTCATATTAACTTATCGCTTTTTAGTTGCAACTCTAAAAATTCCGCCGCGGATGGGTTGCTGCTTTTCCAAATTTTGACTGAAGCATACCTCACCACATTTTGTGATGTGAAGTTGGGCCAGGCATTTCCTAATGCTCAGCTTTTTTCCGGGACGGGTAATGCTCTATTGAAAGTGGCTTATCCCACAAAAATCCTTTACAATATGTGACAGCTTTGTCATCAAGATGGATAGCATTCAGCAAGTTACAAGACTTCTTTTGCAGCTCTAACAGAAAACTTATAAATAACGCAGTCGTTTAATCGTTTTTTTGAACTCAACTGTTTTACCAATTCAGTTTTTTGGAAGTGAAACATGGAATATCATTTTCGTTGAAGAAAAATTATCTGTAACCGGAGCAGTGATCAGTAGAACAGATGCTAGAAAATTGCGAAAAATTTTCTGCAGCAAACTGCAGAACATTTCCAGTGAGGTTCTGCGATTTCGGTTTGGTATGAGGAATGCGTTAGCAAGGCAGTGTACAGCAGGAAGAAGAGTTTGACTGGTTATGCAAAAACAAGTGACAAATACGGACAAAACGGACTACTGGATGGTACCCATTGCTAAAAGGGAAGAGCAAAGGAAAAGCACCTGTTGGGAGGATTTGCTTGAACAAGACTTATTGAACTGTGTGGTTAAGAGAGGTTCGAAAAAGAGAATATCGAAGAAAACGCCAGCTGCATCAGTGACAAAGAGAAACGAAACAATGAAGCAATGATTGATCCACGTACTGAAGTATTTGGCAAAACAGTATCTGCAAATATCTTTGGGGAAGCTTCAGTACAGGTGCTGCTCCTTGGGTCCTTCATTTCGCCAGTTCTTTTCTAATTCACTGGTCCCTGTGAAAGGCTGAGTAAATTATTTTTTTTTTTTAAATTTATGTTGCTTCTGTACCCCTCGATTGAAACCTTTATTGTCTTACCTGTAAGCACCATATAAAATAAAAGTGAAATTCTTTTAATGATTCACGTCTTTGTTCATTCAGTCTATGCGCGAATTTACTTCCTCCCCCTGCCTCTTGCTTATTCGTGAACAACTCATTTTCTGCGTGAGCCCAGTAACTGTGGTACCAAATAGTCACACTATAAAGCTCCCGGAAATTGCCGCCGATGACAACAGTACTGTTTTTTGCCGAAGTTCAGCTAAAATGTCTCCTTTCGTTTCCTTCAGTGCCGCTGGTATTCATCAAGATCATCGGAACTGGAAGGGGTACTGTGATATCCAGGAACAATCTTAAATACTGTGATATTCAGGAACAGTCTTACAGAGGCGTATCTCTGTTAGATCATCGCATTTCTTCCGATACGCTTCTGTGAGTTTTAGGCCAGTTCAGGGAAGAGGGCTATCCGAGCGGTCGTTTTCATTCATTTTGAACAAGCCAGTTCATCGAACCAAACTGATCACATTTATTGGGAACCAAAGAAAACAACAAGCAAAATCGGTGCGTAATTATTTGTAACCACAAAAGTATGATTCGCTAGCGGAGAGATGACAAAACACACAAATGCTTTTGAACAAATCACACGTAAAAACTGGATCACTTTTCCCGAATTTTATGGATCTTTGCCTCGCATCTGCTGCTACTGCTATTGAAAATGCTACCATTGCTGCTACTGCTGCTGAAGATATTGTCGCTGTTGATTCGTAGTAGACCCTGCTGATTAAGGAATTATTGACGCAGTCCTCGTATGGTGAGACTTTTCGATGCATTCATGATTTCCTCAGATTCCTTATCATATAGCTGTCCAATTTTTTCTTGATTCATCCAGGATCCTGATTTTTGCTCGAATTTAGCTATGGCCTGAAAATCGAAAGCAAAACTGGTCCAATGTCGCCATCCAATCTTTGGGTTGAGTTCATCCATTTTCTGGCACGCGAGACCCAGAAATCCTCGTTTTTAGCTTCTAATATATCGCCGTTCTGCATTATGTGCCACCACATCTTTATCTCCAGGAAGCGGCCGAGTGCCGTAAAATCCTTCTTCTGTACGGATCTTTTGCTGCACCTCAGCCGTAGAATACGATCCCCGTTTCAGGCCTTGGACCCCTGTGAGGTCACATATTTCCCCGTCTTGCTTCTTCTTAACAAAGCAAGCCGATCACAAACAGAAACTGTCGTCTCCGCTGATTAAGCCACCACGCTCGTCGACCACTCGCCCTTCCGCCAGTAGCCTCTCCCATTTTCCCATTTCGTCCATTCAGTTCTTCAGTTAGACTGGTTAGTTTTGGCCGGAACAGCGAATGGACAGGCGCACCCAACGGAAAACACTGATACTCCGGCGAAATTTCCTCCTCTTTTATAGACTGCAGAATTTGCATTTCCTATCGGATTTCATGCATATGCATAAGAATTGCCTGGAATCTATTAGCAAGATTTTGACTAGCTAAAATATGCAAATGTAATGAAATTGCTCGAAATACGAACAAAAGCAGCACGTCACAATTTTGTGTATTCATGATTCGTTGTGCTTTTCTCCAGAACAATTTGCTAAATTTGCATAAATTCAGTGAAATCCGCGGAAGTGTCGAATAGTATTCTGTAGAATTTTGCTAAACAAAAAGTAATGCGCCTAAACTTTCTGCTAAGCGGTAAATTGCCTGATATCGACCGGTTGTAGAGTATAATCTATCCCAGCTATGGATTATCGTTTTTGCAGATTTTAAACCGCCAGTTTAGGCAGTTTCTGCTGAGGTTGTTGTGGCAGATATACACCGAACAAGTGTGGATACTAAACAAAAGTATGCAGTCCAAGTTCGAAGGGCCTGACATAGCTTCGCACGACGTAACATCACTACTAATATGGGATACCTGTACTGATTGTCCTAGCAGTCTGGTGTTCTTAGTTTTCTTCAGAAAATGCAAAAATTCTTTGTAATCCTGTATAATATTTGCGTTTACCTAACTTTTTAATCAATTGACGAGCGTACAGAACTATCGCGTATGTGGATATGTGGAGATGTATGTGGATT